TCTAGTCAAGAACCTAGTCAATTTTCACTTTCAATTTGAGTGAATGAAAAAAACTTAAATGTAAGAAAAATCCCTTGACAATGTTCATAATTCAATCATTTGTTTGAATTTGCAACTTTTTGTATGAATATATATAATTAATATATAAATGATCAAACCCAAAAAAATATTTCACTACTTTTAAATATACAATGCATTTCTCAATGTACAAAATTCAAATAAACAGTTTTATTTTTACTTTATTATAACTATTTACAGTCACGTTAAAAGAAAACTCGTATTTTAAAGCAACCAACAAAAACTTACCCTTTTTTATCTACTAGTGGCTATCTCACTTGGACAGTAACTTTAAGGAAATTTAATTTAATGCACAAATTTGTGACTTTCTATGTAAATCTAAATAATAAATACACGAATGAACAAGTTCGAGTCAATATTCTATAACTTTTAAATACAGATTTCATCCTTCAATATACAAAATAACAATGATTACCTCATAGGGTTTTCATGCTTCTTGACCCATATCACACAAGTATTTAAAATATTTCTACATGCAATTTCTTCAGGCGACACAAAAAATCTTAAACACGATTGCCTAAATTTACGCTCGAAAGTTTACCCGACCTCTGGACACTCTATTTACCAACTCAAATGCCCGGAAAAAATCATTTCTTATTTGCTCGCGTAAGCATAAATCCGCAGAATAGAAATACATCCTGCTCCGAACTTTGTCCAGAAATGTTTCTAGCGTTTCCTCATTTCCTTTGCGATGTCGACAGACCGCATTAAAGGGAATTGAAAAAAATATACGGAGCAGGAATATTTGGCATGTGAGCAAACATATTCGTCTTCTGCTTTATGAGGGTTGTAAGTGTCTTTCATCTCGGAAGTCGGGGAACTGTGATACAACTTTATTGTACTTTATTGTTTTGTGTTAAATCTTATTTTATTATTTTCAATTTTTGAAATAAAGACACTTAATTTATATATCTGGCGTTGTGACTGAAGCTAGTTTTTAATGATAAAACATTATTAGACAAATAAAATTCTAAATTCACATGCAAATAGTATGGAACTTGAAATTGTATGGAATGTATTTAATATAATATAATTTGTATACGCCCGGCGCAATGTTTATTAAAAAAGTCAATTAATTGCAATACACACAAGCAATCTATTACCTCGAAAAACCAGATATAATTTTATATTAAAATAATCGCCATCAAACTTTTAAAATAAGTTATTGTAAAACATAAGTAGGGGAAAGTCCCGTAACGCCGGACGGAACCAAGCACCGGACACTCTATTTAACACGTATTATTTGAGCAAGTATAAATCTTTGCGGTTTTGTTAATTTATTTTGATTTCTAACTCTGTTATCTAACATAAATCATAATTTAATAAACATTTCGTAAAATATTTTTTGATTTATTTATAAATAACCGTGCCCGCCACTAGGAGACTTCCCCCTAAGTTTAGTTATTAATAGTATATATATGCGAGGTGTTCAAGATTCAAGTTTTGCGTACAAAATGATAAAGATTTCTTATAACTAGCTTAGTACCTATATAGTTGGGAAATTATTTTATTAGTGTCAGGTGGAAGAAGATAGGTGCAGAAAATTTGTGAGGCTCGAACATAATTAATGTAATAAATCCAATGAAAAAAATTTACTAATAATATAACATAAATTGTAAATTACAATATTTTATATTTAAATAACAGTGATTATTTGTTAAAGTTTAAATATGAATATTAAAACTTAATAGTAAAATATGCAATTGATAATTATTTGCAATTGAAAATTCAAGATATTTTGAAAATTGTTGGCAAAGATTGAAAATTCTGAGATCATTGCAAAACAAAAGAAACATTTATTAAACATTTATTCACTTTGCCCACTTGAAAGTGAAATATATTTCAAAATAATTTTATTAGTTTCAATTTCCTACAAATTAGAATAAGAATAATTAATCTACAGAATTTTATTTATAAAGGTAATATTATTATCATAATAGTTAATAAGTGTAAAAATTTTTTTTTGCTGAAAGTAGTAAGAGATTGCGAATGACATAGGTAACCGTAAAATTAAATTAGAGATGAGAATAAATACTTTCTTCGAAAGAAAATTTTATGTTTTATTTATTTCATTTATGAAAATATGATACCCAGAACAAAAATAAATGAGAATGACTTTTAAAATATATGTATAAGAAAATATGATATGATTTCTTCTAATTATTTTTACTGTAATAGTTTATAATAAAGCATAGATTCAATAATGATAGTTATAAATAAAGCAAAATTT